TTGCAACAATAATATTCAAATATTTTGTAGGGACAGGCTTAACGCTACAAGTAATAAATTTACGGTACTTCGTCGTTTATCACTGCTAATAAGCAAGCTTATGTCGCCCAATAGAATTACTTTTTTTCTATATCTGCGCCATTTGGTGAATAAATCTAGCGATCTCAACTCAATTGAACTTATAATGATCAACCCAAAATGCGCGCAAATGAGAACATAATACAGCTCTTATCTATGCGATTTGTACAACATTCTGACATAAGAGAGCTACATGAAACAAATTTGGATGGAAGCCTTAAGTACAAAAACTAAGATGTATGCCCCTTTGCTATCGAGGATTCTTTGAATTTTTATTTTTAACATAGGCTGAATTTGTACGTTAAGTTTTATATTATGAGGAAATTGCTGCAGCATTTCAATCCAGCGAGGTTAGACCCTTAATTAAAAATAATATCTCATAAAGCCGTATAATCTAGTTTGACTATATATAAAAAATATTCGAGTCAGACCAGCTAATCCTGCATCTACAAAACGATTTGTATCAGTGAAATTTAGTATGACTTTTTTAGGAAATCCTTGCTGCTAATTTAGATCATATCAGCAAAATCAGAGTTAAAGTATATTGATAGTTTATAGTGTGATACTACTGTGCTTTAATCGCCCGAGGTCAGCAATCAAAAATTGGACAAGCAATCTATTAGACCGTTGCATGAGTTCCTTTGATCTCTCCTCCAAGGTGATATAATCACAATTTCTGATTTTTTTTTGCCTAAGTGACATATATTCTGGAAGCGATTTTCATGCTTTAAGAAACCTCATCTACTGTTTCAGCACATCTTTTGACTTGCTTGCATTATTGAGATGAGAAATGTAAACTCAGGTTGAGAAAAAAAATTTGATTCACAGTTTGCCTTTGCCTTTTTTGCCTTTGATCGATGCAAGAATTAGCGAATGGGTTCGCATTTGCTCCATTCAGGATGAGGATGCTGTTCCGCAGTACTATTAAAGATGCTCACTAAGTCCACGTTTTATCCTGACACTAAATTTTAAACTACTAGAGATACTTAGAGATACTTTATACGATGATTACCATTTTTTGATACTTCGGCGTGCACTGTATCTTTCTTCAATCATTTATTTTTC